CCCATGGACGCTTTTGTCCCGTTTTACTGATTTATCTATTTAATGATAGGGATACAAGGGCACTTGTCCTTTCAACGACTGTCCTTTTTGGAAGGGGACAGAAGGAGTGAGTTTTTCTCGACAATTCTGAGGCAGAATTTTTTGTGTGTCCATTTCTACCGGCACATAATCGATTTAAGCCAAATCTTGCTCTTGGTCATTTAGTTAAGAAGACAACTAAACTTAAAAACAAACCCAGCAACCTAGGCAATCTCCAAGATTCAGAAGGAAATGAATCCCTCCTTTCCTCGGGGTGATTACTTCTGCAGCTGTTTAAAGGTGGGTTTTCTACACTGCGTAGCAGATGGAGCTGATGAACAGGTGTCTGAAAATGGTTATTAATCGATGGAGTTGCAAGAAATGTTTGTCGGTTGTAAATGTTACCTAGCCTGGAATGCTTTGGTAAGCAGGCGTGTGTTCGATTGATTGATAAATGAAGGAATTTTATCTTTCCTGGGGAGTGGAGCACCCCTGTAATCACCACACCCCAGCCAGATAAAACTTGGTTTCCAGATCTACATTTTCGGAAGGACGTTTTAAATGCCAAGTGAATGAGAAGAGACTTGCGGTGCTTTGTTTCTGAACATCTAGGTGTGTACAGTGGAATAGCTTCGTGGCTCTGAAAGAATGGGAAGTAATGCTTGTTAAATCTCTTTTGCTCAAAATTTCATGCTTGGTAAGTGACAGATGCTCAGTAAATGACAGATGCTTGATAAACCTTGAGTAGGTGAAACAGTATTAGGTCTTAGTTAAAAGTAACCAGTTTCCTTAACAGAATGAGCAGTTTGAAACCTCCAAGTTGATGTGACCTCCTATTTAACTGTTTTCTTTAGTATATACTATTTTATGTATATATATCTATACACACACATACACTGTATGTGTGTGTATATTTATATACACAGGTATGTTTTAAAATAATTTTTCCAGGGTGTACGTGCGCTCGCTGGAGAGAGACGGAGAGAGAGAGAGGGCAAGTGAGAAAGCAGCACCCGTGGGGGATGGTCACAGCACAGTCGCTTCTCCGTTTCTCTTTTGGGGATTTTGCACACGCGTGTGCATATATATATACGTGGAGTGTTTGTTTAAGTTGCCAGGTGCAAGACTTGAACCATGCCATCGACCATGTGGTTTCCAGCTGCCTTAACCGCCATGCTGCCAGTTGGCCCTCTATACTGTATTACCTTTTCACAGGGGTATAAAGCCTATTTTTTATTTATCTCCCTCCCCCATTCTTTCTGAGCAACTGTAAAGCCATGTTAAACACTAAGAAAAATTTTTGGAATGGAGTTTAGGAGTGACATGTGGCTTTAGTCAGGATTGATTCTTCACCTGGGTTGGGAAGGTGGCACTGGTTACTTCCTAATATTAAATAAAGCATGAATCACTGAAATATATACACATTTTAAACCTTTCCTTTTCAGATCCTTCGGGAATGGCTAATATATATAGATGTGTGTGTTTATCCTTTCTAGCGGGGAAAAAACATTTATTGCTGTGGAAGAGAAATAATGGAGTTTATCTTCTCTTTCATAATTTATTTAAAATCTATAATGGTAAAAATGTATCACTTAAGGTAATCCTTGGGAAGTTCAGGAATTAATTTCATATCCATTGTTGAAGATAATCTCTGTGTCTATAATGCATTCATGTGGATAGATTTACAATGAAGGAGCGTCTCTGTGGTTTGTTATCAGAGAAGAATCTTAGCATCATACATCTGGCTGCAGTGCGGTTCTAGAAAGGGTCATTCTTTTCTTTTAGATGGGAGTCATGATCCTTCTGCCTCAGCCTCCCTGCAGGGATCGTGGTGCATACCTCCAGACCCTGCTTTTTCTTTTTTTTTTTTTTGAGAGATTTTCACTGTAGGGTGCGTGCACTCGCCAGACAGACAGAGAGAGACATAGAGACAGAAAGCGAGAAATCACCCCCCAGGGGGGATGGTCACGCCGCAATCCCTTCTCCTCCATTCTCCTCTCGGGATCTTGGGCACGCACGCACACGCGCCCGGCGTGAGTTTTAAGCCACCGGGTCCGGGACACGAACCGCGGTCGACTACGTGGGAGTCCAGCGACATAGCCATTACGCTAACTGCTGGTTCCCCAGACCCTGCTTTTTCTTAGGCAGGGTCTTGCTGTGTTGCCCAGGCCAGCCTCGAGCTTGGGATCTTCCTACCTCACCTCCCAAGCTGCTGGTAGGAAGCCCAGCTTGCAGGTTGGACCGGACTCTAACTCAGGCCTTCCGTATGGTCCCAGCCTGCAGTGCACAGGGTCCTGGAAAGGTTCATTCCTGGTACACAGTTGTATGAGAGATCACGTTCCCTCTGCACTAATGTTGGGGCTGCAGTGAATAAGAGACAGCGCTGGGCTGGCCCCAGAGCCTTCCTTGTTAAGGAAGCTAGATGACACATGGCTGACCGTGGTTTGAATGCCAGCCCTGGCAGCCTGAAAAACATGCTTAGGCACCTGTGCACGCATGCTTCAAATCCCAACAGGATGAGAATTGGAGAAGAGATTACAGTGTGCTATACCCCATGGAGAGGGTTTTCTCCCTCTCTTTCTCTCTCTGTCTGATGGCAGCATATGTGCCCTCTGGCAACTAAAAATCAATCAGTCAATAAAAGATAGTGTCCAGTTCATGGCAGCCTGAAATGATGAGTTCTAAGAGTGTTCTTCAACAAAACTTAGCTCGTGCTTATTTTCCAAAATTCCTTGAATAAATTTTCCGACAGCTTTGGTGGATTTGAGACTAAGAACAGCAAACGGAGTGACATCCGTGCCTATACTGCTTTCGAGGCCTGGAACTTATTCTGAATCCTGGGAAGACATCATCATTGTTCTAGTGCTTTAAAAGGCTGCATTCTCTGATCTTCTCTGATCAAAATGGTATCTTTTAAAAAGAGAGATACAGAAGAGATTTGTCTAGTGTTTGTTTTTTTTCGGTGTGGTTTGTATTCCTAACAAGCTCCGTGAGCTTTGGTGAATAATCTTCTTCTGGAGTTTTGGTCTCACCTGCCCAGTGGAGGGACTGTTCTAGATAATCTGGAAGAGAAAGCTTTCAAGCTCTAACATTTTTGCTATGAATTGTGTGTGTGTGTGTGTGTGTGTGTGTGTGCGTGTGATTCACTTAAGAGTGATGAGTTCACATACATATGACTCTCCTTGATCTAAGAAAAAATGTGGGGACCAGCCAGGTTGGCATGGTGGTTGGGGTGGCTGGATCCCACATGGCTGACCACATGGTTCAAGTCCCTGACATGACAGCTTGAAATCATGCCAGACACATGTGTGTGCATGGCCAGAATTCCAAGAGAAGAATGAAGGAGAAGGGATTGCACTGTGCCATCCCCTTATGGGGTGTTCTCTCCCTCTCCCTTCCTCTCTCTCTGGCAAGTGCACGTGCCCTGTAGCAAACTGAAAATAAATAAATAAATAAATAAATAAATAAATAAATAAATAAATATTGTAGTAGTTTGCAATATAAATGCAAGAAGAAAATAAAATGATATGATAAAGGTAGGAAAAAATATCATCCAGGCGAAGATGTGTGTGTGCACACATGGGGGGGCGGTGAGGAGCCCCTTGTACAAGGTCCTGTCACACTTTGACCCCTTCTTCACTCCCTCTAAACCTTTGTCTTGGGCACTCAGACACATGTCCAGTGTGTTTTGGGCTGGCTGGGCTGAGATTCGAGCCACATTCACCATGTGGGACCAGTTTCACTTGAGCAGTGTGATACTGCTATGCCATGCAGTTGACCCACTTAAAACATTTTCTTTTTTTTTTTTTTGAGAGATTTTTGCTATAGGGGGCGTGCGCTCGCCAGAAAGACAGAGAGAGAGAAAGAGACAGAAAGCGAGAAATCACCCCACAGGGGGGATGGCCACACCGCAATCCCTTCTCCTCCATTCTCCTCTTGGGATCTTGGGCGCGCACGCACACGCGCCCGGCATGAGTTTTAAGCCACCGGGTCCGGGACGTGAACTGCGGTCGACTACATGGGAGTCCAGCGACATAGCCATTATGCTAACTGCTGGTTCCTAACTTAAAATATTTTTTAATGAAACTTCTTTTTTTAAAGAATTATTTATTTTAATTTTATTTATTCATTCATTTATTTTAATTTGATGAAAGAGAAAAACACAGAGAGAGGCAGAGGTAAAGTGAGAAAGCAAGCCATCAGGTCCGGGACTCAAACCATGGTCAAGCATGTGAGGGTGTCCAGTGCCTTAACCACTATGCCACTGGCTGCCCCTTCCCCCCGTTTAATTATTAAAGGGAATGCAGCCTGGGTGAGGTGGCAAGTGCCCGGGTAGTCCCAGCTACTTAGGAGGCCCCGGGCAGCAGGACTGTGAATTGGAGGCCAGCTCAGGTGACACAGCGAGACCCAGACTCTAGAAAAAGAAAAAGAGGAAAGTTCTATTTCACTTGTTATTTCTCTTCTGAGAACTTCTTCTATTAAATATGCAAATGTATCCTCTGCTGATTTCTCAAAAATATACATATGTAGGTTAATGTTATCCAGCAGCTTGCTTTTTTCCACCCAGTCGCGTGCCATGGGCGCCTTTGGGTTCAGTTTGCACAGCCCTGGCTTGATGGCTTCGTGACTGGGGCGTGGACGCGCTCCTGCTTATTCACCAGCCAGTATGTGGCTGCTGGGCCACATTTGGGTCGGTTCTGTGGTTTACTAACAAGGCCGAATGAGCACCCTTCATATATAATGTAAATACACTTTTACATGCAAAGTGCAAGTGCGGTGAATACATAATGCACACATTAACCTGTACGCGTGCACATATTTCTGTGGGCCTAATACCTGGGTGAAGCCGGGCGCCCCACCCTTCCATTTGTTTCTCTATGATAAATTTCCGACAAATTTGCTTGTTAACCAAGGAATGATTCTGCTTTCAGAATATCCGGAAAATGCATTCAGCTTCTAAGAGTTCAGCACACGCTGCATATAAAAATATGGAACACTTTGCGAATTTGGGTGTCATCCCTGCCTAGGGCCGGGCTGATCTTCTCTCTGAATTCCATTTTTAGTATGTGTGCTGCCAAACTGAGCACTCTTCTTTTTTAAAAATATTATAATATTAGATAGCTCAGAAAGTACGCAGAGCCACTCTCTCCCCCATCTTGGCAATCACATGTCACAAGTGGATGAATTTCTACTGAGTTGCAATTAGTTTGAAGCAGTTCCATTTTGCTTTCACTTAGAGATGTACAGAATTCGTTGTGTTTCCATAAAATGTAAAATTGACATCACATCTCACAGAGCCATTTTGGGATTTGCCGGTGAGCACCCGGCAGCTTATTTCCAGAGTACGGGACGTGCCTTTGTCACTGTGCCCCCCGCTCCCGCCCCTCGTGCTTCCTTAGGGCAAATTCCAGTCTTCATGGCAGAGTAGGGAGAATGTGCAATTTGTAGTGAAAATGTGGGTTTGCATTCCCCACACTGCCACTTCCAGGTGTCCTGTGAGCCTTCCTCTGTGAACTAATTCAAAGGTGGTTAAAGGGCGTGCTTTTACACATCTTTTTTTTTGAGGTTCGTTTGTTTGTTTGTTTTGGTTTTGGCTTTGTTTGTTTTTGTTTTTTAAGGCACATGCTTGCCAGAAAGGCAGAGAGGCAGAGAGAGAGAGAGTGAGGAGTCGCCCCTGGAAGGATGGCCACACCACATCCCTTCTCTATTCTCCTCTGGCGGTTTTGGGCACGCACGCACATGCGCCCAGTCTGAGTTTCAAGCCTACAGGCGCGAGACTCAAACCATGAACGATCACGTGGGGATCCGGTGCCTTAACCACCATACCAGCTGCTGGCCCCTTTGCCTTTTTTTTTTTTTTTTAAGTTGGTTTATCCATGAGTGAGAAAGACAGGGAGAGGGAGACAGGGAGACAGAGACAGAGACACAGTACCCCCGTAGTCTCCATGTCCCGACCCCCAGCCTCAGTCAGCCCTGAACTTGGGGCATACACATGCCTGGTACACTCAGAGGTCTCTAGATGCAAACTGGCAACCTTCCCGTGTGGGTCAGACACTGACGTCACATTTTATTGCTGAGCCATGGTCCAGCCTTCAAGCTGTGCCAATTTTGATGCCACGGGGAAGGAGTGAGTGTTCCGATCTCATGACATCACCCATCTGATGGCACTCACTTTGGCATGTCAAGGGTGCTTTGGATTTTGCATTTCTTTAGATCTTTAGAAAAGAAAATAAACATAATTCCATGTATTGCCTCGCTAATTTAATTTCATGTTATAATAATATTGGTTGCCCTTTTAATTTATTGGGATCTTATTATATGCTTCGAAACTTCATGGTTTAAATGGATACTTTTGCATTTGCAAGCAGTCCCTCAGTTACCGGTTTTTTCTAAAATATTCTTGGGTGATTTGAGTAGCTTAAAATATGTTCCCTGGGCCAGTCAGTCGCATGAAGTTTAAGGCAGCTGGATCCCACATGGCAGTTATGTGTTCAAGTCCTAGACCTGGCAGCTTGAAAAATATGCTGTGTGTGTGTGTTTTCTGAAGGGAGAAATGGAGAAGGGACCGCAGTGTGGCTGTTGCTATGGGGGATGAATTCTCACGTTCCCTCTCCCTTTCTCTCTGTGTCTCTCTAGCAAGTGCATGTGCCCTTTAGCAAATTTCAAAAAAGAAACCAACACATTCCCATAGAAGTTCCCCATAAGAGAGATTGGTTTCCAGGCAAAAATCCCCGAAGCTCCCGAACCCCCATTGTATCTTGATAGTACTATAGAATTTTTTTTTTTTAATTTTGCTAGAGGAGACATGCACTCGCCAGAGAGGGAGAAGAGAGAGAAAAGAAAGTGAGAAAGCACCTCCTATGGGGATTGGTCACATCACAATCCTTTCGGCTCCATTTCTCCTCTTGGGACTTCGGGCACGCGTGCACATGTGCCTGTGTGCTCTTCAGGTCACCGAGCCTGGGACTCAAATCGTGTGGTCAGCTATGTGGGGTCCAGCTGCCTTAACTGCCACACCACCAGCAGAGCATTTTCTGGAGGTGACTATGTTTAAAAGGTGAAAGCAAGAGCAGTTTTGAGATGAGCTTTTGATGGGACCCTGGTGTAGGGCCAGCCTTTTTCCCTGGAGAAGCAGTCTTGCCTTGTAATAGCATTTGAGAGCCAGCCCACTTGGCCGACAGTGTGGTTCAAATCCTGAAACCAGTGACTTGAAACGCATGCTAGGTGTGTGTGCTTGCATTCCCAGTACCCCGACAGGATAGGGGAATGGAGAAGGGATTGTGGAGTGACCGTGTTCCATGGGAAGATGCTTTCTCTCTGCCTTTGTCTCCTGTCTCTCACTGGTGAATGCACATGCCTTCTGGGAAATTTAACAAAAAAGAAGAAGAAAGAATTACTTCACTCATGTCTCAGATGAACTTGGCAGGAGAGGCAGGCACCTGTCTGCCCCATTTCTGTGCACTTCCGGGACAAATACCTTCTCCTTGCTTGCTTTCAAGGTTCAAGATCAATAGCAGCACGGCAGAGGCATTTCCCAGAAGCCCACAGTGCTTTGTGAGGCACTACCACCCCACTTAGATGAACTTAGATGAGGTGTTGGCTTGCATCCCTAACAGACAAAGACCACAGAAGCACTCCCTTTGCAGCCACTCAGATGTGAGATTGCAGACTATCTCAGCGACAGCTAAAGTCTCTACTTCTTGAAATCACTTAGTTTGCTTCCAGGTTTTGGATCAAGTAGTTAAGGGCTGAGCAGGTCTGTTATTATTTATTTAATGATGTGTGAGCTGAACGAGTCACTTTTAACTCTGTCCCTCCACGGCTCAAAGCAGAGTGCCATACCCCTCTTCTTTTTATTTTTTTATTTTTTTTTATTTTTTATTTATTTTTTTTGGAGAGATTTTCACTGTAGGGCGCGTGCGCTCGCCAGACAGACAGAGAGAGACATAGAGACAGAAAGCGAGAAATCACCCCCCAGGGGGGATGGTCACGCCGCAATCCCTTCTCCTCCATTCTCCTCTCGGGATCTTGGGCACGCACGCACACGTGCCCGGCGTGAGTTTTAAGCCACCGGGTCCGGGACACGAACCGCGGTCGACTACGTGGGAATCCAGCGACATAGCCATTACGCTAACTGCTGGTTCCCCCCCTCTTGATTGAGCACCTTGGATATGACCTAACTTGGAGAAAGAACGCGTGCTTAAAAGAGTTCAAGTCATGGGACCAGCAATTAGCGTAATGGCTATGTCGCTGGACTCCCACGTAGTCGACCGCAGTTCGTGTCCCAGACCCGGTGACATAAAACCCATGTCAGGCGCATGTGCGTGTGTGCCCAAGATCCCGAGAGAAGAATGGAGGAGAAGGGATTGCGGCATGGCCATCCCCCCTGGGGGGTGATTTCTCGCTTTCTGTCTCTGTGTCTGTCTGTCTGGCGAACGCACGTGCCCTATGGCAGAAACCTCTCAAAAAAAAAAAAAAGAGTTCAAGTCTTATATTTTACAGAATGATGTAATCAATCTAGAATCAAAGCTACTGCTGTTGGCTTGACCAAGATCCCACAATTGAGGTGGCTGAAATGGGAGTAAATGTAGTTTATCAGGTTAAATTTTCATGAGCACAATGTTCAAATGGAGTTTTCAAGCCATAGGGACTAAAGTAAATGAAGAGTAATTATAAAACTCATGGCATTATGACTCAGGATTACAGAGAGATACCACAGTAGCTCTGAAATACCAAAGTCATAGTTTTGTTGGGCTTGGGTTTGTCTGTATTTGTCCCACTCTTATCCCACACCTACCCTACTCCCCAATTCCGAAATAAAAACTTAATACTTTTAAAGGACAGAGTGATTTTCTCCCAAATTGATGTCTTCTGCCTTCTAGGTTAGGACAAGATCCTGAGTGTGTTTATGTGGGCACGAGACCTGGTCTGTTCCACCGTGGTACTGACGAAGCTAAAAGGAAGGTGTAATGGCACCACTCGATGCTCTCGGTAACAGCCGGGAGATCTAAAAGCTGCTTTTGACAGCGTAACTTAGGATTTATAAATTAGGTTAATGGATTCCTTTTTTAATGGGAAATGCACGTAAGATACCACTTTTGTTTCAAGTCATAATGAAGTACCTACTTAACGCTCTCTTTTCTTATGGTCGTATTTTTTCTGGAGGACATCTTTTTCAACTAGATGTTATAGGATATAGGGTTTTTTCTTTAAAAAAATTGCAACAGGGGCTGGCAGGCGGTGTGGTGGTTAAGTGTGTGGGACTCCCACATGGCTAACTGTAGTTCGAGTCCTGGACCTGGAGGCTTACTTTTTCACTTTCTCTCACTCTTTCTTTCTTACTCTGCCCCTCTCTAGTCAAATTAAAAAATAAATAAGCAAATAAATAAATAAATTTAAATAAGGTAATTCTTAAAAAAAAAATTGAAGCAAATCATAAATAATCAGAACCGTTTTTTTTCTCTCTCTCCCAGAGAGACACATGTGCTTGTCAGGTCCAGAGAGGGAAAGCACCTCCCAATGGGGCCTGGTCATGCCAAAACCCTTTTTCTCCATTTCTTCCTTCTGTCAGGATTTGGGGTATGCATGCAAATGCAGTCAGCATGTTTTCCAAGTTACCGGAGCTGAGATTCGAACCGTGGTTGGCCATGTGGGACCTGGCTGCTTATGCGCAGAGCTTAACCACTGAGCTACCAGGCTGGCAATTAACCGGACTCTTAAAACATGCTGTGAGAGACTAATGGCAAGGTCAGAGTCACTACCTTTCCCCGAAAGGACGCCAGCCACCCCTTGTGAACCGATGAGAGAGTCTGTACCCCTAATGTTGAGAAAGATGGTGGAGCAGCTTTAAGTTCCCTGCCAGCCTATCACACTTGGCTAGGCTGTGACTGCATTTTTAATTAGGAGTGATTTGGGAGCATTTGCTTATGAATTACTGAATATTCTGACCTGTCTGCCTGTATGTCTCAAAAGCAGACGTGTGAGGGGAGAAATTTAGTAGCAGGAAACAACCAACCAAACAAAAGAAGCCAACGCCCATCCTGCAGTCCCCGTGCTTTGCAAAGGGCTTGCCTCTCATCCAATGGCT